TGACGTGAGGAAGAACGTAAGGCTGTAGGATCAAGTCTCTGTAACGCACACCTGTCAGTGCACCTGCCACATGCACGAGAGGCGTCCTACCACCGTGATGAATTCCGGCCCATACCATGACACTCCCGCCGCCAAATGGGACAACCTGCTGCACACAGTTTGGGGCGTAACGTTCACCCCGACGTCTGTAGACCCGTGCGCGCCCATCAGCACGTGTGAGTAGGAAACGGGACTCGTCAGTAAACAGTACATTTCTCCACCTTGCACGTGCCCATCTAACCCTCTGTTGGCACCAAAGCAGACGGTCTGCCAGATGACGTGGGGTCAATACATGACGTCGAACAGGTCTTCGTGCAAAAAGTCCCGCCTCCCTCAGTCTGTTGCGTACCGTTTGATCTGATATTCTGCGTACCCCAGGGATCTGTGTGGTTGTAGACGTGGCTGTGGTAGTGCGGTGTCGGAGGTGTCGTATGTATCGATCTTGTGCTTGGGTTGTCACCCTTGGTCTTCCTGACCTTGGTCTGTCGTCAACTCTGTTGGTGTTGTTGTATCGGGTCCACAGTGCGGAGATTGTCTGTCTGGATACGCCAAAGTGCCTGGCTACTTCTTGCTGAGTTGCTCCAGCTTGTAATCTCCCAATGGCGTTGTTCCGTTGAGCTGCATTCAGTCTTGGCATTCTGTCATCGCCTCTACTGCCGTTATAAGGACTGTATGAACAGCCGTTGATGTGGATTTTTATACCCATTCAGCAGGGGGGCCTGCATGCCTGAATGCAGGATCCTGTGCTGCACGTTTTTTACAGGCGGTTGCGTGTGGATGAAACTGTAAAATTGATCCCCAAACGCTACGTTTATGTGCTTTGCATGTGTTTTCGCGAATTATAGACACATCATCTTTCTGTTTGACTTATTTGGTTCTCATTTGATGTAATTATTTTAGATATTTGGCAAAAAGTGGTTTTACATCTATGTCAAGTTTCTTTTTTTTTGAAGAGTATATATTGTAAATGCCAAAATGATGCATCTAGGGTCAAGTAAAGGATATGTTGACAGTAGCGCTGGGAATTTATTCAACAAGCCCGTGAAAACAACACTGCTTTAGCTCACCTGGCGGTCTTTATGCAACGGCCATCTGACACACAACCCCGCGCTCACGTCTACAGGTTTCTTTCTGAGATACTGTAATTAGTAGAACCCTCTCCCTCAAGTGTATCCTCCATGATATAACCTACTCTCATTAATTCAATGCTGCCCTTTCCCAGCGTCACGGCTATGGAGCTGAGACAAAGAGACCCAACCATCATAAAGTAATTAGGGTCCAATAAAAACAATGCTCCGCCGAACCTCATAAACATGATCACTGAAAGTTGTACTACAGACGTTTAATGTGAAATCACATTTGAATTGCAATAACATTTAACTGGATCACGTATTCTCTTAACACCATCGGAAAACATCATGTAGAAGCAGTACTCATATTGTCCAACAAAGTCACATCTAAAAATGAGACACCAGCAAGTACATATAATAAAATGTGTATTAACATTTTTTCGTCAGGAAATAAATAAATCATCTCCTTGTTACCACATCCAAGTTCAGCCTAACATGGGTCCTCCTTTGGTCAAAAGTTTGTTCCCCCTGTAATGAGTGTGGCACGCGTTGCACACGGGTATCACACGCGTGGCGGACAGGTTCCACACCAGTGACCAACGGGGAACACACGGGATGCGCAACGCGTCGCCCATTCGTGTAAGGGGAATGAACTTCAGTAGTGTAGAACTACCCAGTTCACATATAGTATCTACCCAGTTCACATGTAGAATGTACCCAGCTCACATGTAGAATGTACCCAGTACACATTTAGTACATGTATGTACCTAGTTCACATTTTGTATGTACCCAGTTAACATGTAGAATCTACCCAGTTCACATGTAGCATGTACCCAGCTCACATGTAGAATGTACTCAGTTCACAGGAAGTATGTACCCAGTTCACATGTAGAATGTACCCAGTTCATATGTAGTATCTACCCAGTTCACATGTAGAATGTACCCAGCTCACATGTAGAATGTACCCAGTACACATTTAGTACATGTATGTACCTAGTTCACATTTTGTATGTACCCAGTTAACACGTAGAATCTACCCAGTTCACATGTAGCATGTACCCAGCTCACATGTAGAATGTACCCAGTTCACAGGAAGTATGTACCCAGTTCACATGTAGAATGTACCCAGTTCACATGTAGAATCTACCCAGTTCACATGTAGAATGTACCAAGTTCACATGTAGAATGTACCCAGTTCACATGTAAAATCTACCGAGTTCACATGTAGCATGTACCCAGTTCACATATAGAATGTACCCAGTTAAAATGTAGCATGTACCCAGTTCACATTTAGTATGTACCCAGTTCACATGTAGCATGTACCAAGTTCACATGTAGTATGTACCCAGTTCACATGAAGTATGTACCCAGTTCAAGAGGATTATCTACCCTGTTTGCAAGTATCTACCAAGCTCACATGAAGTACGTACCCATTTCACATGTAGTATCTGTCCAGTTCACATGTAGTGTGTACGATGTATACCCAGTTCACATGTAGTATGTACCATGTGTACCAAGTTCAAATGTAGTATCTACCCAGATCACATGTAGTATGTACCCAGTTCACATGTAATGTGTACCATGTGTACCCAGTTCACATGTAGTATGTACCCAGTTCACATGTAATGTGTACCATGTGTACCCAGTTCACATGTAGTATGTACCCAGTTCACATGTAGTATGTACCGAGTTCATATGTAGTATCTACCCAGTCCACATATAGTATCTACCCAGTTCACATGAAGTATGTACCCATTTCACATGTAGTATCTGTCCAGTTCACATGTAGAATTACCAAGTTCAAATGTAGTATGTACCCAGTTCACATGTAGTATCTACCCAGATCACATGTAGTGTGTACCATGTGTACGCAGTTCACATGTAGTATGTACCCAGTTCACATGTAGTATGTACCCAGTTCATATATAGTATCTACCCAGTTCACATGTAGTATGTACCCAGTTCACATGTAGTATGTACCCAGTTCATATTTAGTATGTACCCAGTTCACATGTAGAATGTACCCAGTTCATATGTAGTATCTACCCAGTTCACATGTAGTATCTACCCAGTTCACATGTAGAATGTACCCAGTTCACATGTAGCATGTACCCAGTTCACGTGTAGTATTTACCTCGTCCGTCAGTTTCGTCAGAAAAACATTGCAGTAATTCATTTGTTTCCTATATACTGTATTCGGCATTAAGATGTTCATCTCCACCATGACGCAATTGCCTCTCTCTTTGACAACGGTAGTATTCTATTGTGTAATATTATTTCACAACGTAATAACAACGTTGCAAATTTACGTTGTGAGAACGTTGTGCATCAGACACAACATAACGGGGTTTTTTTCCGATTGCACATAGGAAACAACTTGTAACTCATAATTTTGATTTGATATAAATGATGCCAATCTGCAGACAAAATATTCATTGAAAATAAAGTTCATATGAATAAGGTAAACACCACAACATTTGATAGTAGCTCTTTACAGATAGTGTCACAACCTAACATTTGGGTGTGCCCTTTTTGCGTGGGCGTGAGAGAGACCGTTTCTGGTCGAATGTGAACAGATTATACATAGTATGTATTTGTATATTACATTTAATCATTTGGAGGCAACAGCATTGGTCAAAGTTAAAACTTAGGCTCGTTGCAGATCGACACACGTCAGAATACTGTTGCCCAAACGCTGCATGTGTCCCAATCTGTCATCAGCAGATTGTTGGCCCGATACAATCAAACACAAAACGTCGCAACAACTTTAGCACAGGACAGGCTAGTCAGAACGAAGACATTAAGAAATCGGTTGCAAACTGCCAGTCAGATAGGGGACCGTTTGCAACAGGCAATTGTACATGACCGGATGCACATTTGCGTGCACGACCTCCATTTGTCATCCCACAATTTACTGCACGTCAGTAGAATCAGAGGCGTCAGTGGCGTAGGGAACATCAGCACTGGAATAATCGCCATTGGCATGGTTTCTGGCGAATCGAGGTTCGCTTTCGACTTCCATAAGCGAATGAAACGACTTTGTAGACGTCCTAATGAGCGTTTTATGGGCGCTAACGTCGTACAGCATGATCGTTTTTAGAAGTGTGTATATTACGGTTGTATCACAATGACTGGCCAAAAATGCGATCCATACTGTCCATGGCAGAGTCACGGGTCAATGCTATCGGGACAACATCATTGCACCATTCGTGGTGCCATTTGCATAACGTGTTGGGCACTTGCTCATCACGTGTAACCCAATTCCTCCCACAGCAAAGCATCCGTGTCATGCCATGGCCGACACACACTGAGCTTTCTGCCACTGAACACGTCTAGGACGTCACTGGCAGACGTGACGTCAACGTCAATATCCACGCGCCACACTCAATGATCTCGGTGTTGCTCTCACTGATGAGTGGAACATGAGTCAAGCTGACATCGCTCGACTCATCAGAAGCATGCCTCGGCGAATTCATGCATGGATGGCCATCAGAGGTGGTTTTACCCAATGTTAATTACGAAGAAGAAGAAGAAGAAGAAAATTATTTTATTATAGTGCCACCTGGTGCTTAAAGACAATAAAAAACATTACACGTATACATACGTATGATAAATAAAAACCTCAGCCGACTCATGAAGGATCTATGAGGCACTTAAAATCATTAAATTATCCATTATATAAATTGGCAAGAATAATACACGAACATAATCGAAAGTACACACACACACACACACACACACACACACACACACACACACACACACACACACACAAAAAAAAAATATTACACACATTTCATTTTCAATCACACATGGCAGTTCACCACATCCACTCAATATCACGTGCGCATACATCACATACAAACACTGCCCACATACTCATCTATCAATCACAAAAACATACACATTATATACATCACTGCCCGGCACGTTGTCGCCGGAGAAACATTGACGTCACTGTTGCGGCCAGAGGTTTACACGAGCTGACACACTGTATAAGGAAGCGAAGTTGATCACACGGGTGGAAACTCAGAAACTGTGAATTGGCAATGCAGGCTTTCCTCCATAGGTCGTAGCGGATATCAGAGAAAAGGGTACAGTTGATCAGGAAATGGGTCTCGTCTTCAACTTGATGTTTATCACAGAACTGACATATACGGTCATTAAGTGGGGTAATCGGTCGCCGGAATCTGCCGAGCTCAATTTCTAAAGGTAAAGTCGCACATCTCAATTTTGCAAGAACACTACGCTGTTGTCTGTTCAGAATATTCCGGACATAAGACTCGACGTGTGCGGATGCCTTGAATAGCCTGTAGGTCCGCAGTTTGTTCCCATTGGCTAATCCCCTGTCATTCCATAGATCCATCCACCAAGAGTCAGCGTCGGCGGCAATGATACGGTCCTTAAGAACTTTGAAATCATTTTCAGCAATATTATTACGTTGGCTGCAAAACGCAAATTTCGAATTTTGCGCCCGATCTCTTTAATGCCCTAGTGTGCCACCATCTCATCTCACCAACCATTAGTACCTTTTAGATCTGATCGCCTACTCCCCAGTAGATATGATCATTTCCATAAGCCAATACCATAAAGATCAGAAAATATGTCTTGGTGATTTCTACTATCCCCTACGTTTTGCATAGTACAGAGGTCCCTCTGCATACTGTCTCATTATATATCCTTGTGTATACCGTCTCAGAGTATACGTACAGTGAAATGCACGGAGACACGCTCTTTGTATGTCCTTCTGCGTGCTGTCTCGGAGTATTGAGAAACAATCTGGACAGACACCAGAGTGCGGTTTGGGCTCTGTGTGCGTGACGTGAGAACAGCGTTATCTTGAGGTCAACCTATTGAAAGGGGGGAATGTTAATGTTAATCCCATATTTCAACAAGGTTTCATTGCAGTGTAAACATTCCGAGGTTGGTCTGTTTAGGGCTGATGTGTGTCTGTTAACACGGGTAGGATTCGTAGATAGGTTGGACTGACATTTAGTCCGAGAAATAAAGTTCTCTTGTTTAAAAATGTAGGCAATCTACACTTGCCAAATCAGTCTTGACTTGAGTTGGACTCCTTTTGTAATTTATTCTCTAGGCTCTAAGAGACAAACTATCGTATGGTATACCTGCTGACATTTTATTAAAACTGCGTTTCTACATGGTGCTGTGCTATGATATGTGAAAGACAAAACTCTTAAATCATGTTATTTTCGCAGGAACAGCAGACCATTTCCCAGATTTATCACAACACGACACGACAGAGGCGCATGTTAACGATTTTCCAAACTATAATTAAAATCAACTTTATTGGGTAAAGTGGGATCACCAACTTTCAATCCACTTCTCCTGTCGTGAATACAAGTTCAAGAGTTAAAACCTATTCCCTTGGCAGCAGACAAATGTCATCTCTCATCAGGCAATGTAGTTGCCTGCCACATACTGTGCGTTGTAAACTTTATCGGCATTGGGCAGATAAACCATTGAGTCAATCCCACAACATCAGAGAAAGCGTTAATGTCATACAATATAATATATCCTCCAGTGGCCAGAATTTGCTGTGATCTGAGCAGAGATTGTGAAGTTTTACATTACATTCTATTTACAGGCTCTGTGCTGGTCCTTATATAGCCTTGCTCCAAGGCTGTACTGATAGAAAAGTCCATGGATGTGTAGAAATTCTATCCTCCTGGTAGGCAAGTCTAGATATGTGGACAGTACTAAATATGCCAGTAAAGTTTAAGGGATAACTTGTTATTTTCATAATCTGGAAATTATTATTTAAACTTATAATCAATGCCTTAGAGACTTGTGCAAGTCAAGTCCTTATGCAGGGAGGGTTGGGATGATATCTTGAAGACAGATAACAGAGAACATATTACTCAGCAAAAACACTGTGTAACAAAGTAAGCAGAACTGTGAGGGTATTTAAGTCCTAAGACGCTTGCTTGAAAAATCTTGGACCTCACAGTTCTCTCCTCTCTTGTTTCAAGGTAAGAAACATTTAATTATTATTGTTATTTTATGTTATTTCATTGTTATTATTGTCCAGAATATGTTAGAATTAAGTTTGAATACGCGAACCAGTAATGCCATTGTGTGACGTTCAATGATATGTTTAAATACACGCTAGTTCTAAACGGCTTCTAATAATATGTTATCTACTATTTAATACTTAGGTACTTTCCAGTAATGTTTTAGGTATACATCATCGTGGGCTCCTCCAGTTATATGTCTTTAATGTACAAAACCAATATTCCATTTCTATTCCCTTGGCAGCAGACATATGTTTAACCACGGGCTAAACAGCAATTAATATCATCTCTCATCAGGCCACGTAGTTGCTTATCACAAACTGTCAAAGGTGTTTTACAGATGTTATTTTACGGTAATTGGAAGGTAGATTGCGTACCGGCTTAGTCCCAGCCAGCGCCTGTATTGACGAACCTTCACCTGAACTACGGTATACCCTCCTTTTTCGGTCCTGACAATTTGGGGATGAGCTAGAGGTACAATGTCAGTACCCGAGGGCCCTGGAACTTTAATTTACCGTAGTTCCTTCAGCAATCACAAAAGTTGTTTTCTTCTTTTGGCAGCTTTTATTCATTCTTTGTGTTGCTGGTCAACCCACGCTATTTGTCACTTAATAAAGAGACTTTGGTCGCAAAGTTTCAGACTCAGTCGAAATGCTGGTGCCTAAGATTCGTTTGTCTGGCATGATAACGGTTCTAATCCGGAAATCATTTAAAGGCTATATTAAGTGTGTACATCTTGATAAGAATACAATATTAATATTACTTGAAAAGTGTTTATTAGATTCTGACAAAGATATACTAATTGTACATGTTAACCCAGAAGGGTCGAATGGTATGATCATAGGGAAAGTCACTGTGAATCAAAATGTGGAATCACATTACTCCAAGAGGGTTTATTGGATGTCCTGCAAGATGTTGGGGATGTCGAAGTTCTCCACGGTGGAGATTTTAACGCTCGCACTGTAGTAGATGTAGACTATGACAGTGACAATATTGCTGAACAACTAGGCGTAGATCACTTTGACTTTCTTGCTTATTCCTTAAACTTAACCAGATATTCATGTGATAAGATAACTTATAAGTTTAGACGAAGATCTTAAGAATTACGCGCGGCCTTTTCTAACTTAATTATATTAAATGGTAGATCCGGTTGTCTTACATACAACAGTTCCTATCGAACGAGCCTTATTTAGTACGCTGTTGTGCCCAGCAAGCAACTGTTTAGATGTGACAACTTAAGCGTCGTTTCTCGCGCGGAGTCCTTTCATTTGCCGAGAGTTGCGGGTTCATGTAAACGTGGGACAGTTACCGATTGTCCGAATTTAGAAACAGACTATTTTCAATAGAAGTATCAGAAACACTGCTCTTGTGTTTTGACAAAGCTTGCTTTAGATGATGTTGATAACTCCATAAATGTGTTTACAAGCACTGTATGTAACGCACTGTATGTAACGCTGCGGAATCAATGAAGAAGAAGTTATCCTATAGCCTAAAAAGTCAACAACCATGGTCATCTCATAGGATGGAAGGAGACAGTCTCCTTAAATGTTTTAGACGTTGCAAGGATAATGTCTCATTACAACTGTACATCAAATCTCGGAACATATATACCAGTATTTTACGTTGTAAGAAACGTCTTTATTCTGATAAAATTAAATGCCAAAAGGTTTTGGGGGACTCTAAACAACTAAAGGTTTCAGATTTACATAAATCGCCAGTAACGACTGAAAAGTGTTTTGAACATTTAAAGATATATTTGACATTCCTGAACATGACGGTGCCTTCGCCAGCGGAACTAATGCAAACAGTCATAATGCTGACATAACTAAAGACATAACTCAATATGAATGAGACATCTCACTCCTCTCAAGCATCAGTGGATGTATCTAAAGAAAATGTCCTCTGCCTGTTTTACAGGAGAATCTTCACCTTCACACATCAAATAGCACTGCTTATTAGCGCTGAGTAGAGTACTCCCGCTAAAACAATACGTGCGCACTGGCTGGTGTCGGCCTTTGACGCAGTCGCAAAAAACAAAGACACCGTGTTGCTTTGGTGGCGTCTGTCTGGACTTGCTGGTGTGATCAGTGATGACATAAGTGAGTAGAACTCTTGTCTTGTCATGGTTGTCAACTGGGTTGACGACGGAGCACGATTCCCGCAGCCATTGTGGAACCATCATTCAACGATAGGTCCGAGAAACAAACAACAATCTGGAAGGATCCAACAGCACACTGAACCGTGGACTAAGAAACATCGACCGCTTCGTTGAAGTCATCAAGAAGGTAGAACATGCAGATCGGGACAAGATTTCGCAGATCGACTTTGGTGCTGCCCTCAGGAGTAGAAAACGAGTCTACCAAGAGATAGAGAATCGCTTGTGCCGCTTAAAAGAACGTTTGACCCAGGGATTAAAAACACCCATCCAATACTTGGATGCTTTTGGTAATCTTTTGAAACTTGGCTAGTGACTTATTGTGATTATCATCTGACTGATTAGTAAAAGAAAATGTATATAAATATTCTTGGGGTTATTCCATTAAAATGACAAAGGTAACAAGCAGGGGATTTGGTGTGCATTCAACTGTGAACTTTGTTGTTATAAGCTGTAGGTGTTTTGGCATGTAGGCGTTTTGGGAGAACACCGTCTTCACTTCACTTCACTTTATTCTCCAGAGAACCACGCATGGTGGTATTAGAGTACATTTTACATGTCAATCATTATATACAAGCAGTCAAAATGGCGGCGGACTAAAACAATATATTGTAAACAGTGGTAGATAAAATAAGCATGTCTATTATCTAAGTTTTGATATTACAGAGAAGATAACATTTATAAACTTTGCTAGGTTTCTTAAAACAGTGAAATCTGATGATGTAAACAACCGTCTATAAGATGCCATATTTGAAAATTTGGTTAGTTTTGTTGAAATAAATCTTTTTCAATTTTCATCAAAAGCAGGACAACAAAATATATAATGAAACTCGTCTGCAATTGTCGGAGAGTCACACAATTTACAAGTTCTAAATTCCCTTGGAGTATTATACCAACGCCCTGTCTCAATAGGTAAACAATGATTGGATGTTCTAAATTTAGCAAATAGCACTGTATCGTCTGCATATAACAGAACTAGTAGTTGTAGACAAACTAAATTCAAATCATGTTTGCTGGATATATCA